AGCTAATGAAGGATCATCTTCGTTGAGAGTTTGCAGTGCAATTTTCAGAGATTTTCCATAAAATGTAACTGCCTCCTCGTATTTTCCTTGATCCGTTTTCAGACATCCAAGGTGGTGATATATATATGCTCGATCACTATCGCTAGAAGCATTTTCGAATAGTTGATTGTAGAGTAGCTCAGCATCATCGAATTTTTGTAGTTTGAGCATCAATTGACCCATTCGATACCACTCTCGACCTTCAATTTCCTCTTTCATGTATGTAACAAGAGGAGCAAGTTGTGGATCATTGTCATCAGTAATTGTCAATTGTACTTCCCAAATACGTTTATCTTTCGTTGTTTGTTTCATTTCACCAATACGAAATACTGTGTGCATGGAGAAGAGAATTTCGTTTTCCGTTTTGATTGCGCTCTCATTTTCAATAAGAGCGAATGGTGTCGAAGATGGTGATATTTTACTTTGATCAATTGTCATAATAAAAAGGACACCTACGTTTTGTTCATATTTACATAAATTTCCTTCAATGAATCCCATACTGACGTTTTTTTCTGTGCTCGTCGATAGAAAAAAATTGAACGCAATGAGTCCACCTTTTGTGTTTTGAAGATGTCGAAAATCTTCTGTAGAAAGTCCTTGACCACGATAAACAATGAATTTCTTCTCGAAATTAGCTGATTGTTCTTTGTGTAATTGCTGCAATTGGCGATGCAAATTTCGAATGAAGAAGCCTGTTTTAGTCATGACTTCCAAATCAAATGTTCTCAGGGCATAGTTGAGCATACCATACAGAAACATTTCACAAGTATACCACCAAACTGCCGAATGCTGACGATATTTATTCTTAAAATACGTCAATTCTGATTCACTAATATCTTTACTACGGCAATAAGCCACAAGATCTTGTAATGGCTTATCGTCATCTTCATCGATTTCTAATATAATATCTTTGAATAACATTGTGTACATATAAGATGGTTCTAATTGATCGAGATTTTTATCTTCATTCGTTGTGTCTGTTCTTGAGGATGTCGAATTCGCAACAAAAGTCATCGATATTGCATCATAGTCACATTGACGAGTCATTTTTCTTAGGGATTCACATATGGTCTCGATTGAAATATGAACACCTTCAATCTTGGACCATTCTTGAGTCCACTGCTCGTGTCTAGCCTTATTACCACAATATATATATATAGTATCTACTTGTCGCATATTATGAATTTGCGGCACAAAATATTGACCTAAAAATCCGGATACAATGAGAAAAACTTTTTCCAAAGTTATGCTGTTAAGAAGCTGGATACAATCGTCTGGATGCGTAAAAACATTAACATCGTTGATCACACTTTTAATTTGATCGAAGTCCTTTTGAAAATTTGCTTCGGATTTATCGATAGTGCCATCGATCCAGAGAAGCGAATAATTTTGAGTGATTCGTCGTCTTTGTTGAATTGTAGTTAATGATATTCTTGAATTCATAGCATCATCCATGGTTAAATTGATCATTTATCGCTTAGATATTATAGTTTATTCACGTTGACGTCAAACGATTGTTCTATCAGTAATAATGCATAGTTAATAGGCATCCGTTGTTTCGAAAGAAATAGACTGTTTTAAAATTTATACAAAAGATGCTCTATGTTTTTCTTGTAAAGAACCCGATAATGTGTTTATAATGCAGAGTTGTTTTTCAGTTGCAGTGGAAAACAGAATTGTGAACGACAGGAAAGAGAAAGGAAAAAAACCGAGCAAATATCATTGATTGAGTCATATTTTATTATTTCCAATTTTCCTTTACTTTACATTCGTATACTTATGTAACTTGAGTGTCTTGTTGTTGGTTACCTTAAGCTTCATGCATAGTATTTTCTTTCTTTCTCCTATTCAACACACAAAATGAAAAATAACATTAAATTTCTTCTGTAGAATTTCTACGTAAACAGTCATGTCTACTCGTTAAACAAATTTCAAATATACTTAATGTTTGTTTCAGAGAGTTTTATTACTTATGCATACACGTACATGCTTATACGTAGTCAATTTTGTTTTATGTCAGAAATAATTTACAATTATTCTTTTGTAAAAAGTGATTTTTTTTTCGAATTAGATGTCGACAGTATAATAAAAGGAAAATTTATTTTGCATACTCTGTTTTATCAAATGAACTACTTTAATAAATGAAAGAAATTCAAGAATGCGAATGATGAAATCATTTTATATCTCATCCAGGCAGATGTTACATTATTATTCATGATCATATAAGTATATATATAAATGATCAAATAAAAGTTTCTATACTAGTAATTACTTGTTATACTATCACATTATCTTGACTATTCTCGACTAACGATGGCCATCTATAAATAGATGGCTAAATGTGGTAGTATTTTAACTATTGATAAACCCATGGTAAGGAAAATAAAAATCTTAACAAGCATTGCCTTATTATAATTATGTTTGTCAAATCGACTTTAAATAATGAATCAAAAGCACATAGGAATTCCTACTCATGTAAACACGAAACGCAAAATTGATGCGTTGAAACGCTGTTTGATAATTAAATGCGTTGAGACGCAGTTTTTCCACACAACGCGTTTAACTGCAATTAGAAAAAACATGAATCGCGTCTGAACGCGTGTCTGAAAAACATTTGACGCGTTTGAGTACATTTTATCTACTAACTGCGTTCAAACGCGTCTCAAATATTTTTTCAGTCGCGTTCTGATGCGATCATATTTCTGAGCGCGTTTGTACGCGTTCATTTCTCGCGTTTCAGACGCGATTTTATTTCGAAAATTGTTGCTCTCGAAGAGTTAATCGCGTAATTGAAACCGTCACTTTGCATATATTTTATTTAACTAAACTTCGTTAGACTTTTTGACAAAGAATGTCTAGATGACGTTAAAATAGACGAAAATTTAATTATACATATGGCATATAATCCATATTTCTCTGAAGTTTGTATGAATAATAATGAGAAAATATCGCAATAGTTTTCAACCATTCAATGTCTTTTAGCAAACTGATAAATGCTACTGTTTAAATTATATAATTAACAACTTTTATCGTATTTCTGCTAAATAAATTATATGAACAGTTATTTATTCATTAAATCCTTCAATAAAATTATTTATCAGGCTACCACTACAATTAAAAAGATTTCCTCATATTGATCACATTTAGTAGACGATAAAAACAGATATGATTTTGATAAAAAATAATAAAATTATTTGAAAAATAAGTGAAAAGTCATGTTATGTATTAAATATCTTACTTCAAAAAAAGTACATGCTATCGAAATAAAGTATTTAAGCGATGAAATTTTCATTTAAATATATTTTATTTTGAACTAGAAAAGATTTCGAGCTAGTATAGCTCAGTGGTGTATGTGAACGATTGCTGATCACAGGTTCATCTGTTCAAATCTGATCGTCATCGTTTAAGGTAAAAATCAATTCATTCGCCAGGTTAGGCTAAGATCATCGAGAAGTGTTGATGATGGTGACTCAGTTCGAATCTGAGATGGATTCTGATATATTTTTCAAAATTTTTATATTTTATATGACACGCGTTTCAGACGCGTTTCCAAGCAAAAAATATTTGCATGGGTAGTGTAAAGAGACCCTAGAAGTGATTAGTTTTCTGTTTTTATTGACAGCAGAATTACAAATAGCTACCTCAATAGAGAGACAAGTAATTTCATTGTAGAGAGGGTGTTGTATAAAAGGAAAGAAAACGTGAAAACTTCTTTTCTGTGACAAAGCTTATTAGAGCAGCTCCTTCGCGGCTAAAATGTAGAACTCACATCTTTTTTTGAGTTAGTTTCTATTTCAATAGAGACTTTTAAGTTTTAATGTAAACAAGCTTTCAACTTTGGCAGCACTAAATGGAAATAATCTAGGGTTTAGAGGATGAAAGTCTCGTTAATATATTAATCAAATTTTAAATTAAACAGCAATATTTGTAATATATTACTACAAAAATCTCTATTTAAATTATGAGTAATACTGACTTCAGATATAGTAATCAAAATCAATAGATTTTCTATCTTCTATGTGTTTGTCTTAAGATTTCAAAAACGAGAAGATTGCTTTTCACTATATGAATCTTTATTCTTATTCACATCGATCATCTCTATTGATAACTTTATTTTAATGATTTACTTATATCTTTTGTTTTCTATAAAGCATAATATATTATCTTAAAGAAAATTACTAATGTTTGTAATCCGTGCCACTTGCTTTTCTCTATTTTCTGTCATACCGAAGAGAGAGATATCCGAGTCCCCTCATGCAGCGATAATCTGTGACTTTCCAGTTTTCTTTCTATGATCAGGTGCGATCGGAACCGTCTACCAGTTCAATGGTATATCAAAAGTAGATACCTAATGTATGCATTCGACAAATCTTTTCATGCTCTATTCAGTAGTCTTTGTTGAGTATGCTTAAACATTTTCTAAACATATTTGGGGATGCTTTGCTCTGTACCAATGAAACTGCAGGATAATTAGCATTTTAGGTGGTATTTTTTTATGCGAACCAGTAAGAAATAAATGGATTGTATAGAGTTGATCGAGCTCTACCAGAATCGATCTCCAGTTTCATTGGAATCGACACACATACAAATCCGATGATGTTTTACTAGAAAATTCCATTAATTTCGCTATAAATTAGCATATTAGGCGCCTATGATTTATTGAGGTGAAACAAAAACGTATGCAGTTGATACAGCTGATCGAGCTATATGTTGAAGCATGCTTTGGGTGTGGGTAGAAAAAAGAAACACTCTCACCCCACACCAGTATGACGTCTTTTAGCATGTTTTACTGCACGAAGACGTGACGGATAGGAACATAGGAGAGTTTCAAATAACTCAGAGTTTGATTCCATCTTGGTCAAGACATATGACGGGTGATTTTTTTATTCTTCATGATCACGACTATCTTCTGTTCCTGATAACATTTTTTGCTCTACTTCGTTTTATATCATTATTCCTATATGTTCGGCTACATTTAGATCAGGTGGTTTTCCAGGCCAGGTATCGTTTCCCCAAAAATTTATATCGTTGTCTTGAAGTAAATATTGAGTCATATTTGCTCGTATAAATGGTGCCTTGTCTTGAACAAATATGGCATCGTCCACATTGATTACATTTTCTTCATCTTTGAGGAATGCAATTACATGTTGTATTAAGATAGTATCACGAAAATATTGACCAGTCCACGATTCACCTTTATTTTTGAATACCCAATGCAAAGGTTTTGCAGTGAAGATGAGCAAAATACTGATGCACGCTTGGTTTTTTAACCATTTCATGATAGTTTTCATCATCTGTAATATCTTCAATAGTTTTTGCCCAAATTCAATCGTTCTGATAATTTGGTCTGCGAACAGTCCAAACATAAAATTCATCGGATGGTGCAAAGTGGAGAAAGTCTTCTTGAGTCCAATCTTTTAACCAGTCACAAAAATACAATCTGTCTGATATGAGTTTCTGTTTTTAACGGCTTTGGAATGACATGAAACGGCTTTATTTCTTTTCTATGACGGTAATTGACAATTGTTTTTGGAACAACATATTCCTTGTGTTTTCCTACAATTTCTTTCACCGTAATATAAACACTTTTGCTTTGTTTCCCACTTGCACTGAGAATAAGGTTTCTACTTGCATCTGACAGTTTGTGTTTACGACTACGTTTGGAGTAATCATCAAAACAGTTATCATATGCTTTTCCCACTATTTTGTAACAAATCGCATAATAGAATGAATTTTGTCTGCAATCCACTGTCCATTAATAAGTGTTGCATCGGCATACCGAGCTTCACGAAAGGCAATACATTTGCTTCTGTCGATAATTCTTTGCTGTTCTACAGCAGGGGCCAATTGAATTTCCCCCCTCTGTTTTTTTTTGTTTTTATAACTATAATTCTTTTATTTTTTAATCTACTATATATAGCGAGAAAGCCCAGAATGCGGTGCATCTTTTGATATATTTAGGTTGAACATTAGATGCACTGTAATGTGTGAAAAATGTATAAGAAATAAGAATGATATTTTTTTTTACTACGACATCGGTTGTCTATAATGCTGAAACATTCTTTGTTTTGTATATCTCGGCTTAAGTAAATGATAAAATCTTGAATTTTTTTTTAAAAGATGCGCCGTGAAAAGCTATGTAAAAACTGTATGATTAAAATCAATTTCATTTGTTCTAATGTTTTTTCTTATAATCGAAATGAACAATCTATATGATAGTGTCAGTTTTCATTATATTGAAAATGCTGAGAAGATTTTTTCATTTTGCATATATCTCGGCTTGACAAAATGATACAATGTTGAATTTTATTTTAAAAGATGCGTCGGTAAAGCTCTACAAAAGCTGTATTGATAAATTATTCCTATAGCGAATGAGAATAGTCTTCCAAACATGTTCAAGATGATGAAAACTGACACTATCATATAGATTGTTCATTTCGATTATAAGAAAAAACATTAGAACAAATGAAATTGATTTTAATCATACAGTTTTTACATAGCTTCTCACGGCGCATCTTTTAAAAAAAATTCAAGATTTTATCATTTACTTAAGCCGAGATATACAAAACAAAGAATGTTTCAGCATTATAGACAACCGATGTCGTAGTAAAAAAAAATGTCATTCTTATTTCTTATGCATTTTTCACACATTAAAGTGCATCTAATGTTCAACCTAAATATATCAAAAGATGCACCGCATTCTGGGCTTTCTCGCTATATATAGTAGATTAAAAAATAAAAGAATTATAGTAAAAAAAAACAAAAAAAACAGAGGGGGGAAATTCAATTGGCCCCTGCTGTATATTAAAGGTACCAGTCGTTTTCAACCAATTAAGTTAAGTGGCTCAACAAAAAAGATCATTTGTTTTTCTTTATGAAATTTATAAACCACGAAACGATTTTACATAGTGTTCCAAACGTGCTTAAAAGTTTCGCTCTAATACAGAAAATAAGTGAAAAACAGCACACTTTGCTAATTGAAATGAAACGCCGATGCAGAGCGGAAAAGGGGCTTGTAATAAATAAAAATGAATACTGTTTTATCTTTTCTATTGCTCCGGCGTTATGTCATCATTCACATTCAAAAGAGGAACATAAAAAGACAACAGAACGAAAAAGAATGCTTCTATCGATTTTTATAAAGAAAAAACATCTTTCTTGTGTAATGATTCATTATTGATACATTAACACAATTGTACTGCTGGAACCTTTAGAGAGTTCGTGTTTGATGTGAAAAAAAAATTGGCAGAGCCCTTATCATTTACTGTTGGTAAATCCCATTTTTGATACTCTTTTATTTGGTATAACATTTGTTATTGATACGATTTAAAATCCCGGCTTTATCCACTTGGAGACACATATTTACACACCCTGTGTATAAAATTCATCATTCTTTACAACAATCAAATACTTTGGTAATAATGTCAAATGATAAAGTACAATGTGAAACAATATTATGTTTATGAACGAGACGTATCACATATTCCAGATACTGAGGAAGCTGGATATGCTGAACCTACTAGAGACACACTATCTATTAACTACACCTATGTCCATAGAATTTGGGTCTATGTATGGAAGAGAACAGTATAAACATTGACAGCGACATTCACACCCACTCCCATCCCACCCACATCAACAATCTGTATAGTGAGAATTGAATATCAACGAACGGAAATAACCAACAGTTTATATTAGATTCATACTTGTCACTCGTATGCCACTAGTAAAACTCATTCATTTCAAACAGTTCGCAAAATCTGAATATTTAAACTCTAGTCAAATCATGATAATACAGATTGAATCAGATTGAAGGTTAAGATAAGAAAATATTTTATTATGCTCATATGTGTGCATTGCTTCTTAATGGATAAGTAATTTCAGTTAGACCAAGTGCCATGCTTCATGATCAGCTCTACGAGAACAGGCAAATGATCCGACGGGAAATGTTTGTTATCCGAATCTGTTAAAATTGCATGCTGCAGGATTGTAAAATGCTGAGGCGTTACAAAAATATAGTCAATACGTTCGCCTATCTCTTGTCCTATTAAGAAATTAACAAAAGTACCATTCGGACCATAATGAGGCGTTTCCGTCAAAAGTTTAGAATCTCGAAGCGACGTATTCGTGATAATAGTTTGATAGGGATCTGAATTGGGTCCTGTATTAAAGTCACCCGTAAGTATCACTGGCTCTGTAGAACCAGTTATGTCGTGTATGCGACGTACAATCAATCGAGCACTCTCATTACGAGCCGTCACACCTATGTGGTCCAAATGTGTATTAAAATGATATAGCTTTTTATCACTCCAGCGATCTAGGAGTTTTATCCAGCTACATACTCGTGTCTTCGCTGCATCCCATCCTATGCTTCCAGGAATACCCGGCGTTTCCGAAAGCCAAAATGTACCATTATCAAGTATTTCGAAGCGATTGGAACGATAAAATATGGCGGAAAACTCGCCTGCATTTTTGCCGTCGTCACGACCAACACCGTACCAACCAAAGGCAGGAAACGCCATCCTTAAATCTACCATTTGATGCGGCAAAGCTTCTTGGACGCCAAAAATATCAGGTTTACGATAACGAATGAGGCTGATTAATCGATCTTTGCGAAGATTCCACTGATTTTGACCGTCTTCAACCACATCCCATCGAATATTGTAGGTCATAACACGAAACGACGTAGGACAATTTTCAATTGGCATAGCTGCAAGAAACTAAGCTGGTTTTAATTTGACTTCTCTGGCTAAGGATTGGAAATCGAGTACTGTTTCATCTATTTTTAGCTGTAACTGATAAATTTAGATCTCGTTACAAACTATTGTTGGTACAGTTCAATATTTAATAGGAATAGAAAAACTGTTTCTCTCCTCTTCTATCCTGTGTAGCAGATTCATTTATACATTAACTAAAACAGTGTGTTCACCTATTTCTGCTGAAGTGAAGTATAAAGATGGTTTTATCACTATTTGTTTACCTGTTGTTGTCTGCAAAGTTCGTGTGACCATACCAGTCATTGGAATAACAACTGTTGCACAGAGCAAAGTAACAGTGGCAATCGAAAAAATGATCCAGAATGGTGTTTTTCTTTCAATAGGTGCGCTTCAAAAAATGACAATACTTGTTAATGATTAAAATGAAATACATACACTTCTATCGATCGATCAGACTTTGATATATACGTATTCGAAGTTACTTGATCACACTGAAAGAGTCAAGCAGAAAAAACAGAGATCCATATTATGCATAGTTTTTCGACTAAATTAAAATGACATACATCACCACTGTAATTCACGATTAGCACGTCATTTTTATGTAACATTGTCGGAATGGTGATGTATTCGAGGTCTTCACTATAAAAGAAAAGCGTCATCACCTCAATGACAATTATAACTTCTATCATAGGTTTTTCTCATTCAAAATGTCAATAAAAATATTTGATCAATGACGTAAAAAATGATTATTAAAGAAAAAATACTTCTAAATTGAAGAAATAAATCAAACAAAGCCTCTGTGCTATTCATCCTTTTGAATGAGAAACATCCATTACAGCAACAAGTAAATGTGATCAACTGACTATAGTAGGAATTGTGCGAGCCTGATTTCTTCACTATTTATTCTCTTAATAAACTGGATTTTATATGCCGTCGAATAAATGTCATTATTTGCGTGCACTCTATGTGGATTAAGCAAATGCAGTAATCAAAGCGCACACATATTCAGTTAGAGAACTAAAATAATAGTATATTTTTGCTATTCATTATCGTCGAAAAGCCATATAAAGGACATCTTAAGCAAAATCCCTTTACTTTATTTCACTTAAGGGTGTGGGTGTGGGTGTGGGTGTGACCATCGTTTAAGAGATGATAGACACCCACATCCTCTTAAACGATGGACACACCCACACTCACACCTACATCCACCCACACCCACCCACACCCAGACCCACACTCACACCCACCCCATCTCCACACCCATCCCCATCCCCACATCCACACCCACACCCTACATCCACTTACACCCACACACCACACCCCCCTCCCGCCGACACCCAGATCCCACATCCCACAACCCACACCCACACCCACACCCAGACCCTACATCCACCCATACCCACACCCGAACCCACACCGACACCCACATCCACCCACACCCACACCGACACCCACACCGACATCCACCCCACACCCACCCACACCCACACCCACACACCTTTAATGTGCTATAGTGATTTCTAATAATTTCTAGAACAGAAATCTGTCTGTTGCCCCTGAAACAATCCGAAGCCTCAATCGACCTGCTATTGTATGTTCACGTTTCAAGTTAGATCAGTTCAGGTCAGGTCAAAAAAGTGGGTTGTCGCCAACATCGATTCAAATCTGCTTCTGCTATTTTTCTAAATACCATGCTCCGAAAACTTAACGATAAATTACTAATCTGTCCAAACGATTCCGTAGTTCCAACATCTAGGCTGCAGTCAATGGTAGAGCTATACTAATCATGTCACAAAATAGGCATCTGACTAACTTGTTGTACTCATGCCGGTAGTTGTTGCAGTCGTGCTAGTAGTTGTTGTACTCATGTCGGTAGTTGCTTGAGAACTAGTAGTTAGAGTTGGTGATGTAGTTGACGAAATTGAGCTCACGCTAGTAGTTGAAGTAGTGTTGACAGATGACGCATTACTAGTATTGACAACTATAACAAGAAAACTAACATTGGTTTTAAATAGTCGTACTTTATACTGACCGCCCGAATCATTCGTTTGGCTTCTTGGCCAAGTAAAGAGTAAGATAATTGCTACGACAAGACCAACTGACAATAATACAATTGCCGCCAGCATTCTCCATTCACAGCATGTTAGGAACCTAGATAAACAAAAAATACAATACCTGTTTAATATCTATCAGGGTAACGTACGAGCCCGAAGTTCTTGATGCTCGAATTCTTCTCTTAGAATCACGAGAGTCTGACATCGACCAATCACGTGATGAAACTTCATGAATATCATCCAAATTACAAAGAATGCTTTGAATTGATGGTGTAGTTGGTGGTCGTGGTCGCTTTACTATAATCTTCGCAACCAACAGCATAAATTTGTTTATCATTACTTTGGAAAGATCTATGGCTCGAACAAACCTTTATAGGTAAACGATGACGTCTATAGTTGTCGCTTGGAGTTATCTCATGGGTAGCCATAGTGTGTCGAAGATCTCAAATGAAAATGATGAATGAAATACACACTAGCAATTTGTTCTCATTATAAGCATAGATTTTTTTCGATTTCTACAGTGAATACTACTTTAAACTTATTGTTTGATAATTTTATGCCATGTATATCGAATGTACACAATACTTAGCAAAAAATATCCAAAGCAATCATAAAATACACTTTCAAATTCATAAAAAGCTTGTTAGCGCAGCCCCTTTGGGGCTAAAATGTGGAACTCACATGTCTCCTTTGGTTTCATTATACTAATGACAAAATACCCAATATTTAAAATCTCCAAAAGGTAATAGTTCTTTTCTAAAGATAATCGATTATTAGAAAATGCTATATTTTTATCTCTCAATTTCGAACAGAATGTTTTTTTCACGAAGTTGCCAAGGTCTGTAATGGGGGAGGGGGAGGGGGAGGGTATGTCTGTAATGTTCTCTTTTCGGTTGCTATGTCTCTGTAATGGGGTGGGGAGCCGCCAACCTCGAATTGAAAACTTGCACTCACTATTTTCTTCGAAAACATACGTGAGTTCCACAAAATTGCAATATAAAAAAATAACTACTCAAAGAAGCCTACGAGCTTGAAGTGTTCTAACACGAACTAATGTGTGTGTACATCCATTAGCTCAAAAAATTTTGGTCTTTTATTTACACAACTTTCATTTGTTTTTTTTGCCATTAAACTAATCGTCGTCAATGATTGTCGATGCAGCTACGAAAACAAAGAATAAGAATGTAATGATGTACGCATGACGAAAATCTATCCGCATTTCTTTAGGTCAATATTTGAATATCTAGTACAGTAATTAGTATTGTTGGCATTTGATATTTGAAACTATCGAGTACAAAGTACGTTTTATGTTAGTACATCCCTTCTTAAGAGGATGCTGTCTCTGGTAAAATAATGGGTCTAGGTTTTTCAATTTGAATTGTTTTTTGAAACTCTTTCTCATGGTAGTACTGAAGAATGCAGGTGTGCCGAGGATTTTGGTGTGGGTTTGGATGTAGGTGTGCGTGTGGGTGTGGGCGTGGCTGTCGCTGTGGGTGTGGCTCTGGTAGATTTTATATTGATACCATAACTACAGCCACACCGACACCCACACCCTTCTCACATTTAATTGAGAAAAAACAAAAGCAGATAATTCTTAAGTATTACACGGTGTGCATGACATTTAAGAAATACTACTACTAGTTTCGATCTTTCTAAAGGGTTTCTTCTGGTTGTTTTTAGCACTGCATAATTTCAAGAACTGAATTGGAAAGATTTATATCTTGCCACGTTCAATTGAGAAAAAGCAAAAGCAGAGAAGGGTGTGGGTGTGGGTGTGTTAAATCTTTAATTAGACAAATTTAAAGCAATCATACGACGCGTTTCGAACGTTGCTTAGGCAATCATCATCAGATATGTGAAGAATCTGTCATTACATAGTTAACATGTTTATCAAACTTAACATAATCCATGTATTCAGAAGCGGTGTGGGTGTGGGTGGGAGTGTAATAGTTACCACAATAACCTAGTAGTATTTCGATTTTTACAAGAAAATTTTATCAAGTGGCAAGTATCTGTATGAATGATCCAAAATTTTGAGAAAAATTTCACATCAAATACAAGATACATACTGCAAAACAAACAGATAAAATGTAAGAAAAGTGGCTCCAACATAGCCCATAATCATCAATACTGCACTAAACCTTTTTTCTTATATTATAGAACGACGAAAGAGGAAAAACAACATTACATGAACCGAGATCAGCCCACCGAAAGACAACTTCACAACCACTCCATGGCTTTTGACAACTGCTCGAACTCATACAGATAATACACACAGTAATCAACACTGACATTCTCTCTTGTTCCATAGACATAGTTTCCCGTTCTTCATCTAACACAATATAAAACTCGGCAATTCTGTTTTCAAAATAGAACCAAAGAAAGAAAATACATAAATTTTCCCAGTATGATATCTTCTATGACAATTTTTCATATGAAAACATCATTTTATATTGCTGCTTACAGATAAAACTCAGAACCTACCTAACTCCTCAGCACAAACCAATAACCAATCAGCCATCTGAAAACCTTTGAGACCCCACTACCGAAAAGACACAAGCGTCCATCTAGGCAGCGTATCGGTACATCAATCACGGAGACTAAAATACGAGAAAAATGCACCAGTACAACAAACAATCAATGTACACACACACTAACGAGGGAACATTCCCAGGTGTTGGAACGCTTTTGAGTCGGGACTTTGCGCACCTTGTAGGCCTTGATGAATTATGTCTACCGTAAAAAAGTTCGTGTCCGTAGCTTGTTCCTGGTGAGATATCGAGGTTTTAGTGAATTTTTCCTATAAGATCCCACATTTGCAGCAAGGCCATATTTTTTAATTTTGATCTGAAACTTTGTCCACATAAATACCTCAGCTAGACTAGCTTGCATAAAAATTTTCAGAACTTTTGGATAAACTCTCTCCGAGATATGAAG